TTTCAATATTTTTTTTATGAATCATAACCTCTTTCATTCTTAAAAAAAATAATTTTTTTCAAATACAAAATATAAACATAGAAATATTATACGTGATACAAAATCGAGATTTATTTCAATAATAACATTGGAAATATTCTAAACATTATAACAAATAATTCTGGCAACAATATTGTAAANTATATATATATATATATATATATGAGATATACTGTCTTTTTCGTATACTACGCTTACGTATTATATATACATTGCATCTCTCTCTCTCTGTCTCAATAGAGTGAGATCGGGCCATGGACGTATTCGACAGGATTGGACTAGTCTCTGACGTCATTGCGTGGACCGACGTATCTCGTCGACGATTGTCGAAAGCATGCTGTTCTCGCCCCTCTATATATCTACAGTAATCAGCGGCAAATTCAAATACATGATAAAGTTAGATTCCTCTTGTATTGCATTAATCGAATGTTATTTTTTTTTTATATATATTCATCATAAATTTGTCATCATAATCCATGTCATCATAAAAAAAAATTAATTTCTTGTTTCTTTAGTAGGAGATTATCGATTCATATGTTTTTTTGAAATTTCAGTTTGAAATCTAAATTTTTCAAATAGAATTTAAGACAGAATTTAAGACAGATATAAAAATAGGAAACAAAGAAAAAAAGAAACAAATTATTAATTTGATTATGAAAACGAAGTTTTCTGTTTTAAATATGAATTTTATATATATATTTTTCTTGTTTCTCTTATATATATATAATTTTTCTCATGTATCATCTATCTTATTATTTATATTCTTTGAGCTACATAGAAGTCATAACATGCTTTATAAAATCATAGATTCAATTTCTCTTGATATTTATTGATATATAATAATTTTGTATAACATTTACTATATAATTCTAATATTTTATTTATATATTAAGAAAAATTTTATTTAAAATAATAAAAAAAAATTAATATTAATCTAAAGAAGTCATATTTTAAAAAGATTGTTCGTTTTTTATAAAATTTAATATTATATAATATAACTGATATAAAATTGGTAATAAATAATTTAATATAGAAATCATTTTTAAACTAAGCATTTATACATTTTTATCATAAAAATATTTTATATTTTTTTTTTATGGTTTTTACATTACAGAGACTGTTATGATACCAACTATTGCGTGATATCATATTTGTAAGGACATAAGGTTTTCCAAAAGAGAACAATAATCGACCTCGCTCAAGATGAATGACATCGAAGTCTGCGTAAGCGGCTACGTGCTCCGATGTTGAGGAACATCAGCAAGGGCGCTAGCCGCAGAAAGCAGTAGAGGTTAGGTATGGCCAGGACGGTATGTTCCAGGCAGTGGAGAGAAGTGTACCCGGAGAGAGCACCCGGGCCGGGTAGGTAGGTATACATAGGTAGGTAGAGCGCAGAGGCAGACGAGAAGAGACGACCGCTTGAAATCCCTTTCTCCTTCCCGCCTTTCCTGCCTGCTTCTCTCTACCGCCCGCCCGCCATGCCACTACGAGCGAGCGAACGTACAGCTAGGCCGGCACAGTCCTGTAGCCCATTTGGCATTTCCCCAGCTATAGCGGCGGTCCTGTAGCCCATCGTTGTTATCGTCCCGCAGCTGCATAAAGTCGGCTCTGCCTCCTCTTACCCCTCTGACCCTCACCCTAGCTGTCGACCAACCGCCCGTCCACTCCCCTCCCTCTTCTATTTCGCTCACCTCACTGCTCAACATCAACGTTTCTTCCTCTATCTCTCTCTCTCTTCCCTTTCTCTCTCTATTCTTCCTTCTCTCACCAGCCTGCCGACCTGATCGTGTTGCCCTCCTTCCTCCCTCCACCCGTACCGACGCTC